CCCTCCTGAGGACAGTGGCTCCACACTAGCCCTTGGAAGACATGTGGGGGACTGAAAAGCCATGGTCCTGACCCTCACGAAACTTAACTCTTACCTGGAAAGCAAAATGAGGCATGGAATGATGTGGAAAAAATAACGTCAAATTATGTGATTTCACTTTGCTGAAGATTGTGAATCACTCCTTTTTTTGTTTTTCTGTGTTGCTTTTTTTAAAATATTTATTTATTTTTAAGGAATATAAATTTCATAAGTACAACTTTTTGAATATAGTTATTCTTCCCACCATACCTGCCCCCCCCCACTCCACCTCTCCTTCTCCTCCAGCTCCCCTTCCCAGTCCCATTCTCCCTTAAGATTCATTTTCAATTAACTTTTTACATGGAAGACCAATTCTATACTAAGTAAATATTTCAAAAATTTGCACACACACGCACACACACAAAAAAACTGTTTGAGAACTAGTTTTACGGATAACTCTGATAATACGACTCTATGGTCATACGGCCAAACCTCCTGCACATGCCCTATCTCATCAGTTACTTTTAATAGTCAGCCAAAAGAGGCAGACCCTGTGGCTTAGTAGGCTGAGCCTCTCCCTGCATATGGGAGGGAGTTCCCATATGGGCACCAGTTCAAGTCCAGGCTACTCTTCTTCTGACCCAGGTCTCTGCTATGGCCTGGGAAACCAGTTGAAAATGGCCCAACTGCTTGGGCCCCTGCACCCACATCACCCACATGGAAGACCCAGAGAAAGCTCCTGCTCCTGGCTTTGGATCGGCCCAGCCAGCTCTGGCCTTTGCAGTCATTTGGGGAGTGAACCAGCCGATAGAAGACTTTCTGTCTCTCCCTCTCTGTGGCTCTGCCTTTCAAATAAATAGATAAAATCCTTAAAAAAAAAAAAAAAAAAAAAAAAAAAAAAAAAAAAAAGTCAGCCAAGACCAATAGGTAGTATTAGTTTCTGAAGACCAGCTTCTTTACAAGTGCTTTGAAAGCATTAGGATAATTGCATTTATTTTTGCTATGCAAAGCAGTCCTTTCAGACTATTTCTGTAAGCTGGGGGATTTTCTTTTTACTTTTCTGTGCACTTGCACTCATACAGTTTAAGTATTCCTTATCCAAAGTGCTTGGGACTAGAAGGGTTTTGGACTTCAGATTATTTTACATTTTTAAATATTTGTATCTACATAATGAGATTTCTTGGGGAAGGGACCCAAGTCTAAACATGAAATTCATTTATGTTTCATAATCACCTTATACAACATATCCTGGAGGCAATGTTACACAATGTTTTTAGTCAACCTGTTTGACTACAACCCATCACATGAAATCAGGGATGGAATTTTCCACTTACAGCATAAGTTTGAGATTTTGCAGTGTAAGTTTGATTCCAGATTTTTCATCCCTAGATGCCCAATCTGCACACTAATTTTTGTCTCTGCGTCTGTTTCTAACTACTAGAATGAATATTCCAAGTGCACAAGTGTGACTCTCAGATCACAGATGCCGTCCTTGTGCCTGAGCCCAGTGGTCACACGTGGCTGTCATGAACAGTCCTTCTGTTTGACTTGATGCCATCCCACACACACTCTGGCCTCCTTGAAATTCTTCTCTTCCTAATTGCTGGAGCACCAGGCTTTCTTCATTTGTTTTTCTTGCCTCTGTAATTGCTCCTTCCCTGTCATCTCTCCAGACTCTTCTTCATCTGACTGTCCTAAAAACATTGGTATTCCCCAGTGTTTGTTCCCCAAATGCAACATGTATTTCTCAGCTCTCACCTCTTTCCTTGGCTTCTGGCCTTTGTCCAGCCATGTCCTGGACATGTTTATAGACGTGAGATTTCCCCTTCCCCAGCACCCAGTCATTCACCTAGCCATCTCTGTTATCACCCTAATGGTTCTGTACATCAGCCCTCCCTCAGCATCCCCATTGCTGTTGCCAGTACCGCCTACAGCGATGCCACAGGGTCCCTGTCCTGGGCTCCATGACTGAGTGTGCACCAGGCCGACTCTCACAGCCTTGCCGCTCCCTCTCAGGTGCGAAGTTACAGGGCCAAGGAGACGTGTCAGCAAAGCCCACCACCTTCGAATCTGTGCACCAGCTACAAAGACCCCAGAAGTCCCTATAACAGACCTCTTCGCAGGCCTGGTCTTTCAGGGTTAGACTGACTGCATCCCTGGTGTGTACTTTCTAGGCCCTAGGAGCAGATGAGGGACAGCTCCTTGGATGGAGATAAATGAAGCTTAGTTGGAGTTTGGCTCTTCAGCTCCACCTGCATACGTGTGGTGTCCCAGAGATTATAGGCCGGAGCCAGGTGAGAAGAGAAGCAGGCCTAGTAGGGACCTGTGTGTGCTCATCAGAAGCCTCACACCCACGAGGAGCAGGCCCACGCACTGCCTGATTTTTCTTTATGCTTCTGGTACATGGCTGATAAGCAACTCTTCACTTTTTTTTTTTTTTTTTTTAAGATTTATTTTATTTATTAGAAAGACAAGAGTTACAAAGAGAGGTAGAGCCAGAGAGAGAGAGGTCTTCCATCCACTGGTTCACTCCCCAAATGACCACAACGGCCGGAGCTGAGCTGATCTGAAGCCAGGAGCCAGGAGCTTCTTCCAGGTCTCCCCATGCGGGTGCAGGGGCCCAAGGAGTTGGGCCATCCTCTACTGCTTTCCCAGGCCATAGCAGAGAGCCGGATAGAAAGTAGAGTAGCCAGGGTTCAAGCCAGCTCCCATGTGGGATGCCGGCAATGCAGGCCGGTCTTTAACCCGTTATGCCACAGTGCTGGCCCCACTCTTCACTTATTCTGAGCAGTTGTTAAGGGCAAGGGTTTTAGTTTTTCATATTCATATTACCATATGCCTATCACACATAACTTTCTCACATGCAATGAGTACTTAAAACATGTTTTTTGAGTGAGTTAAATAATGACTGCGGGCCTGGCTTTGTGGCATATTGGGTTAAGCCACCACCTGCAATGCTGGCCATTTCATATGGGCTCCAGTTTGAGTCCCGGCTGCTCCAGTTCCAATCCAGCTCCCTGCTAATGCACTTGGGAAGACAGCAGAATATGGCCCAAGTCTTGGGCCTCTGTACCCATGAGGGTGACCCAGAAGAAGCTCTTGGCTCCTGACTTCTGCCTGGCACAGCCCCGGCCATAGCAGCCATCTGGGGAGTGAACCAGAAAATGAAGGATCAATCTCTGGGTCTCTCTCTCTTTCTCTCCCTCTCTCCCTCTCTCCCTCTCTCCCCCCTTCTCTCCCCCTTCCCTCCCTCCCTCTTTCTCTCTGTAACTGCCTTTCAGACATATAAAATAAATCTTTTTAAAATGACTACAATTTATATTAAACATCTTACAATCATTTCAATTCTTTTCCTGTTATTTTAAAGAATTTATATTTACATGATTTTATCAGGACTTAAGACCAGCATTTTTTTCAGAAAAGCCTGTCTCTGATTTTGTATTACTATTAGGTGGGGAAATTAGACTTTACATATAAAATAATTTTATTTTAAGCTCTGTTTTCATGAATTCTCTTCATGAGATGGAGTAAGTTCACAGTAGGCAATAGGAAATAGCGTCAGGCCAACATGAAAGCCTCGGTCTTACAGATGAGCGTGGCCTCACAGTTCCCAGCACACGGCGCTCATGACTGGCTGGAACATGTTAGTAACAGCCGAACGCCAAGGGACTGGGATACGAGTGTGAGGGGGTAGGACTGAGTTCTGGAGAGCCAGGAAGAGCCAGGTTTCTCATGACTTCAGAAGATGGCCCCGAGATCCTCTAGGACACTGATCTCCAAACTCATTTGGGAGTAGTGTGTGTGTGTGTCTGTGATGACTTTGGAATGCAAAAGCATGTAATTATTTAATATTGCAGTAATTTTGAACACAAAATTAGCTTGTTTTAATTCCTCAGATGTTTTTAACAATGATAAGTCGTATGCCCTAGGCTGCCTCCCTTCCCCTCGCCATGCCAATTAGTCACTTTTCAGTTAAGAATCCATTTGAAATATCCCAAGTGCTGTTCTTTCTTTGGATACTCCTTGAGCGTGTGTACCTTGTTGTAGAGAGATCTGTTCCGATCTGAGAATTGAGTAAACTGGACTTGGATGACCCTTAAATAATCTCAAACCTGGGGCAGGCATTGTGGTGCAGAGGGTAAGACGCAGCTTTGGATGCCTGCATCCCATATTGGAGTGCCTAGGTTTGAGTCCCCACATGATATTTTTTTTTAAGATTTATTTATTTTTATTTGAAAGTCAGAGTTACACAGAGAGGAGAGGCAGAGAGAGAGAGAGAGGTCTTCCATACACTAGTTCACTCCCCAATTGGCTGCAATGGCTGGAGCTGCGCCGATCCGAAGCCAGGAGCCAGGAGCTTCTTCCAGGTGTCCCACGCCAGGGCGTTAACCCACTGTGCCACAGCACAGCGCCCCCCCCCCCACGTGATTTCTGACCTAACTTCCCGCTAATGTGCACCCTGGGAAGCTGCAAATAAAGGCTTAAGTAATTTAGTCTCTGCCGCCCACATGAGAGATTCAAATTGAGTTCCAGAGTCCTGGCTTTGGCCTGGCCCAGCCCTGGCTGTTGAGAACATTTGGGGAGTGAATCAATGGATGGAAGATCTCTCTCTTCCTTGTCACTGTCTTTTTCTCTCTCTCTGTCACTTTGCCTTCCAGATGAATAAAATTAGAAAAATATCTCAGGGCAGCCACCCTGCCCCCATTTCCTTTCACACTGTCGCTGCCTGTATGTTGCTGTGGATTCGTTCTGAGAGGAGGAGCGTGGTGGGGGCAAGACGCATGGAGTCACCACACAGACTCTGGGAGTCTGGTGAAAGCAGGCCTGAGGTGAGCAGCCTGCAGACTCGTTTACCTTCAGTTGCTACAGCAGCTTCTATAGCCAAGGCAGCCAATCCAGTCAAGGGGTGGTTTATGCCCTAACCAATCACACCCTGTTGCCAGGCAGTTTCCAAAGCCATCCAATCACAGCCTGTTGCCAGGCAGGCTCCGTTGTCATGTGGTTTCAGAAGCCATGCAATCACAGCCTGTTGCCAGGCAGTTTCTGTTGCCAGTGGCCATCTTGGCATGGCCTTCTCATTCCACCATACCCTAGGTGGTTGCAGCCACTGGGCAGAGAGGCAGGTGGGCCAGTAATGCCTGGGAAATTCCTCTTGGGGGCCATTATGGAGCCTGACGCACCTTTGGAGGAGCTGAGAGCCAGAGGAAGGAGAAGCACAAGGTATTTATTTGAGACTGAATCATATAACAGGAAGCTGGATCAGAAAGTGGAGCCAAGAGTTAAACCCAGGCCCTCTGACATGGGATGTGGGCTTTCCAAGCAGTGTCTTAACTGCTGTGCTGAATGTTCCACCCCTATATCTTCTCATGTAAAACATAAGAGATGAGATGTTTCAGCAAATGGCATTAGATATCTGCTCCTCCCCATGCTGCTCCCAGAGGATGAGTGTGCTTCGTTGGCCGCTGCCATTTCCTCCCTCTTTCTTGAGACTGATTTCACCAGACTCTTTGCTGAGAACTGAGGGCTTTACATAAAATATAAAAATGGTCCTGGGGCCGGCGCTGTGGCATAGTGGGTAAAGTCACCACCTGCAGGGCCAGCATCCCATATCGGCACCAGTTCAAGTCCTGGCTGCTCCACTGCCCAACCAGCTCTCTGCTATGGCCTGGGAAAGCCAGGTAGAGGTAGAAGTTGGCCCAAGTTCTTGGGTCCCTGCACCCATATGGGAGACCCAGAATAAGCTCTTGGCTCCTTGCTTGGATCAGCCTAGCTCTGGCCAACTGGGGAGTGAACCAGTGTATGGAAGGCCTCTTTCTCTCTCTCTCTGCCTCTTCTCTCTATGTGTAACTCTGCATTTCAAATAAATAAATAAATATTTAAAAAAAGAAAAGAAGTGGTTATCTCCTCAAGGAGCCTGTAGAGGTGCTGTTCCCTCACTCTTAAAAATCCCCAATTAGAAAATCACAGGTACTGAACAGGACACAGGGTTGTTGGAAAGATGTAAACAAGATAAGCCAAAAACACATGACTCGGTGCTCAAGACACAATTCCAACTCTGGTAAGAAATCAGCAGCAAGGGAAAATGGTGTTGCAGATGATTTGCACGCTCCCAAGCCTCAAAAAGCTAAAATGAAAGAGAAGCTAAATGGAGACACTGAAGAAGGATTTAATAGACTTTCAGATAAATTCTCTAAATCACCCAAGTCAAGAAGAAAAGATCTGTCAAGTAGAGATATTGATGAATATGAAAAAAAAATCAGCATGAGTGTCCTCCTTGGACAGGTTTTATAAATCAGGTGATAATAAACTGGAGACCCTAAATGTGAACAGCAAGAAGGAACCTTCTCCAGTTTCTCAATTTCTGAAGAGATTAGAAAGCTGAAAGATCGAGGCGGTCACATATCTCTTTCCTATTCAAGTTCACACCTTTGGCCCTGTATGTGAAGGTAAAGGTGTAATTGCTCAAGCATGCACAGGGACGGGAAAGACATTCTCTTTCACCGTCCCCTTGATTGAAAGGCTCTTAAGAAATCAACAGTTTTTAAAAACAGGTCACCGAAAGGTACTTGCTTTGGCTGCAACAAGAACTGGCAAATCAAGTAGCCAAAAACTTCAGAGCTATAACTAGGACATTCTGTGTGGCATGTTTTTGCAATGGAACAGCCTATCAAAGCCAGATTAATCATATTTGAAATACTGTTGACATCCTGGTTGGGACACCTGGTCGTAACGGAGACCATCTGCAGAGCCAGTTGGATCTTTCCAGACTGCAGCATGTTGTGCTTTGTGAAGGGGATCAAATGTTAGATCTAATTTTGCTTAACAAGTGGAAGGTTTGATCCATGAATGCTGTAAAACTGATTCTGAAGACAATCTTCAGATGGGACTTTTTTTCTGCAACTTGCCCACAATGGATATGCAAAACTGCAAAAACAAAAACAAAACAAAACAAAAAAAAAAAAACAAAAAACCCTCGAGATCCAGATATGAGCAACAAGCTGATCTTATTGGAAAAATGACTCAAAAGGCTGCAATTACCGTGGATTATTTGGTCTTCAGTGCTGTTGGTCTCAGAGGCCAGCAGTTACTGGAGATGTCCTGCAAGTGCATGGCGAGTCTGAAGAGGGGGCTCTTATCTTCTGAGAGACCAAGAAGATTGGAACTGAAATGGCCATGGACCTGCACATAAAACAGAACACCCCATGTTTCCATGCGGGGGCATTGCATAATCACAGAGAGAAATGGCTCTGAAAGGCTTCAGAGAAGGAAGTCTCAAAGTTCTGATGGCAATCAGTGTGGCTGTCCGTGTATTGGACATTCCTGAGGTTGACCTGGTGACTCAGTTCTTCTTCACGGGACTTTGAATTCTCTATCCACTGCTCTGGATGCACAGCTGGCTGGACAGGGATTTGGATATGTTTATATCAACCATGAGAGAAGTCAGCTAAGATATGTGGAACAAAAATGGATAGCAGGGGCCCAGGCACTTGGTCCATCTTCTGCTGCTTTTCCCAGGCCATAAGCAGGAAACTGGATCAGAAGTAGAGCAGCCAACAAACCAACGCCCATATATGATGCTGACACGGCAGGCAGTGGCTTTACCCACTACTCTACAACGCTGGCCCCAGGAATTACTTTTAAACATGTGCTTGTTCCATCTACAGTGGATTTAGTTAAACCTAAAGGCCTGGATGCCATCAGGTCTCTGGCTTCTGTTTCTTACACTGCTGCTGATTTTTCCCAGCCAGCAACTCAGAAGAAGAGAGAGGGGCAGTGGATGCATAGACTACAGCGTCAGCCCACACTGAGCTTTGGACCATGATCTTTGAACTCTCTTCTTCCATCCTCCCTTCCTCCCTTCCTCCCTTCCTCCCTTCCTCGCTTCTTCCCTTCTTCGCTTCCTCCCTCCTTCCCTCCCTCCCTCCCTCCCTCCCCTCCTTCCTTCCTTCCTTCCTTCCTTCCTTCCTTCCTTCCTTCCTTCCTTCTCTTTCTAATAAAAGAGGGAATTTATTAGAAAAATAGAAAGGTTCCTGCAGGGATTCCAAGATTGTCAATAGCTCAAACTATGCTTTTTGGAAAGATAAGAGCATGCTGTAACAAACTTCTAATTCTGTGTTCTGCACAGTCGTGAAGAGAGTATCCTGGAGGATAGTTCTCTTTGTGTCCTGCATGAGGGACTGGAGTGTGGATTCGTTTCTGCTTGCTCTTTGATCCTTACAGTGCTTTGTCCTAGACTCAGACTTGTCACGCACATGTTGGCAGGCATTCCTGAACTCATTCCAGTAAGGCATTTGTAACCGTGACTCTGGGAAGCCCTAAAGAAATACGGGATGTCAGCTGCACTTGGAAAGAACACAAGTCTGAGTAGTGATGTTGTGTCCCAGGTTACCAGAGCGTGCTTCCGAAAAGGAAATACAGGTGCTTGCTTTGATGTTCCTACAACCTAATCAGAAAGGTTACAGGCAAAGTACCAGCCAAATTACCCAAAATTGAAGAATTATGATAGAAGCAAACACTTTTTTTTATATATTTTTTTAATTTGAAAGAGTTACAGAGAAGAAGAGATAGAAAGAGGTCTTCCATCTGCTGGTTCACTCCACAAATAGCTGCAATGGTCTGGGCTAGGCTACTCTGAAGCCAGGAGCCAGGAGCTTCTTCTAGGTCTCCCATGTGGATATAGGGGCTCAAGCACTTGGGCCATCCTCCACTGTTTTCCCAGGTTCATTAGTAAAGGGCTGGTTTGGAAGTGGAGCAGCAGAACTCAAACCAGTGCCCATTGGGATGCAGATGTCGCAGGTGGTGGCCTTACCTACCACAGGGGAGTAGGTCAGGAAGTCAACCAGATGATAGGAGACAAAGTAGGAATAGAAATCAATGAAGAAGCCAGGGCCACAAATGGAGTTTTGATTGAGTATTTGCTAATCTACCAGTGTAAGTTTGCCTATTTCTGCCTAATTATGTGCAGTATCCACCAGAAGTTAGGTCATCATAGTTGATGTTTATGTCTTATTTGCAAAGAAGTTTGTTGTGTTTTTTAAAAAAGTAGTCACAAGAATGCTTGTAAACAAATCTGCTTATCCAGTTATACCTTTGAATTGAACAACTTCTTTTGTCTCTTTTAAAACATAATAATTTGGAGCTACATTGTGGCTTAGCAGGTAGAGCTACCTCCTGCGATGCTGACATCCCATGTGGACACCAGTTCATGGCCTAGCTGCTCTACTTCCAATCCAACTCCCTGCTACTGGGAAAGCAGCAGACGATTGCCCAAGTACTTGGGCCCCTGCCACACCTACGTGGGAGACCGGGATGGAGTTCCAGGCTTCTGACTTTGGCCTGGCCCGGCTGTGGTGGTTGTGGCCATCTGGGGAGTGAACCAGCAGATGAAGACCTCTGTCTCTTCTCTGTCCCTATAACTCTGAATTTCAAATAATAAATCTTTAAAATAATAATAGTAACAACCTCAGGTTCACACATTCTGTGACTCTTAGCTTGGATTATAAGTCTATTTGTGATTATACTGAGAGGAAAAAAGAATTAAGCCATGGCTATAGTTTGAGTTTTATAAGTCAACTCTTGATGCAATCGCTGAGGGGTAGCTTGGGACTCATTGGCTTTTGGAGGACGTGTTTGGTTTCATAAACAGTTTAAATCATTTATATAATATAGAAAATATTTCCCCTCATATAAGATTTTAAAATGTCTTTTGTTTTATTAACTTAGTAACATGAATGACACTTGGAACTTATTTTTGCCTTGAAATAATTTTTCTAGCATTTATGAAGATAGAGACAAACCTAATTCACTTATCTGCACCTCCCACTCAATCATCCCTCTCCCCATATACTTGTTTATTATTTCCCTCTGCGTTCAGAAAATATGTTTTATACCTGGCTTAAGTTGCCAATTGTTAAAAGAGAATTTGAGACTCATGGTACTTACTAAGCAAAACAAGATGGGAAGAATGTAGTTAGTATTCTGAAAATGTTACATACGGTGTCCCAGGTCCCTTCCTTTCCTTCCCTCTGCCTCCAGGCAGAAGAGGTTGACCACCTCCCTTTCTGTCTATGTTTTCAGACTTTTGGCCTCTTTCTCCTTCAAAGCTGCTCTTGAATATGAATGTGTGTGTTAGGGGATGGAGAGAGCCATGAGAAAAAACGATTTGACTAGCAAGATCCAGGAGTGCTAAGTAGACTGTTGAGAAAAGATGAGCTGCACGAGTGGAATGGAAGCAGGAAACCGCCCTTCACTAACCCTTACCATTAAAGTCAGAGTATTAGGACTGGAGGGGGGCCCTACATGATTACTACACTTTATGATAGGAACAGGAGACAGCTGAGGGCTGAGGTAGGCAGCCAGGGACAAAGGGCTTCAGTGACTCAAGTGTGAAGTGCAGAAGGAAACTCTAGCCTGGGGTACAGAAGGACACACCTACAACAGAATGCTGTCACTACTGAAATACTAGAGATACGGAAAACAAAACAGCATGCATTACAGCTGGCACCGCCCAGATCCCTGCTCCCCAGCAATGAGAAGGTCATTGCTAGCCAACAGACATTTGCAAAACCCGGTACAAACTTCCTCTGACTCAAAGGATATAAACCCCTAGGCAACTTCTTCCTGATGGATTCCTGCTTGTCCTATCCGTACCAGTATGGGAGCCTTCATTTGCTTCAAGCTCTGCTTTCTCTTTTTGCTTGATAAACCTTGAGTTTTGCTCACCCCTCATCATCCATGCCCCTTGTTCTCCTTGGTCATGAGACATGGACCCAAACAGTTAGAACCACAGACTCCTACAATATTAGTATAATAGGTGTTCTGTGCATGCATATGGAATTTATACAGATCTCTTTGTTTTGCTAGAATCCTATAAAGTTTTGAATTGTCCAAGGTCTTTCAACTAGCTGCTAGAAGAGCTTATCCAGAACCCAGGGCCTGCAATTCCCTAGAAAATTTAGTTTATTTTTAAAAAATTTTTTTCTAGGGTTTCACTCTATTTTTTTTCTTTTATTTAATGAATATAAATTTCCAAAGAATAGCTTATGGATTACAGTGGTTCCCCCCGCCCATAACTTCCCTCCCATCCGCAACCCTCCCATCTCCCGCTCCCTCTCCCATTCCATTCACATCAAGATTCATTTTCAATTATCTTTATATACAGAAGATAAATTTAGTATAAATTAAGTAAAGATTTCAACAGTTTGCACCCTTCAGTACTAGTTATACCATTAATTCACATTGTACAACACATTAAGGACAGAGATCCTACATGAAGAATAAGTGCACAGTGACTCCTGTTGTTGACTTAACAAATTGACACTCTTGTTTATGGTGTCAGTAATCACCCTAGGCTCTTGTCATGAGTTGCCAAGGCTATGGAAGCATTTTGAGTTCGCCGACTCTGATCTTATTTAAACGAGGTCATAGTGAAAGTGGAAGTTCTCTCCTCCCTTCAGAGAAAGGTACCTCCTTCTTTGATGGCCCGTTCTTTCCACTGGGATCTCACTCGAAGAGGTCTTTCAATTAGGTGTTTTTTTCTTTTGTTTTGTTTTGTTTTGTTTTTGTTTTCTTTTCTTTTCTTTTCTTTTCTTTTCTTTTCTTTTCTTTTCCAGAGTGTCTTGGCTTTCCATGCCTGAAATACTCTCATGGGCTCTTCAGCCAGATCCGAATGCCTTAAGGGCTGATTCTGAGGCCAGAGTGCTGTTTAGGGCATCTGCCATTCTATGAGTCTGCTGTGTATCCCGCTTCCCATGTTGGATCATTCTATCCTTCTTAATTCTATCAGATGGTATTAGCAGACACTAGTCTTGTTTATGTAATCTCTTTGACTCTTAGACCTATCATGATCAATTGTGAACTGAAATTGATCACTTGGACTAGTGAGATGGCAATGGTATATGCCACCTTGATGGAATTGAATTGGGATCCCCTGGTGGGTTTCTAACTCTACCGTTTGAGGCAAGTCAGATTGAGCATAGACAATTTATTTTCTTTCAGAAGATACTATGACTAATTTCTTCCTTTTAATACCTGGCAAAGAATATGTATGAAATATTGAGCTCAATTATATTTTTCTAGGGCTGGTGGCACTTACTAGATCTTTTAATGAGTGGTAGCCTACTAGAAAGAATATGAATTCTGGATTCAGACCTGGATCAGAATTTCAGCTTTGCCCATTAGCACTTGGCAAGTTTCTTGTCTTTTTGGTCTGCACTATCTCTCCTCAATAAATGACTATAACAGTAGCTACCACCTAGTGTTGTTACAACAGGCAAATGAAACAAGGTTATAGAAAGTGCTTAGTTTAGCAGGTGGCACAGATCAGAGACTTCAGTAAATATTTGTGAGAGGAATAAATGGAAACAATATATTTGATCTCCTTCATAGATAGGCAACATACCTTTTAGAAGGAAAGTCAATTTACCTTTTAGATATGTCATGTTCTTTATAGATGCTTATTATTATTGCCATGGTTACACTCCTGCATGGTGAATTTCTTTTTGTCTTAGAAAATACCTGTTTCAAATCTATTTCACCACTTTTTAACTTTTGAAATTCCAGATTGATCCATGGAGGACAGATGTTAAATGGACTGGCAGGTCCCACTGTGATGAACGCAGCACCGTTTCTCTCTACAACGTGGTTTTCTGCAGATGAACGGGCCACGGCCACGGCTATTGCTTCGATGCTCAGTTACCTTGGTGGAGCATGTGCATTTTTAGTTGGACCACTTTTTGTTCCAGCTCCCAATGGAACCTCGCCTCTTCTTGCTTCAGAGAACAGCAGGGCTCATATTAAAGATCGCATAGAGACTGTATTATATGCAGGTAAGTTTTCTCTCTCCCTATTACACTTTGTATGCTGTCCTAGTCATCTCCAATCTACTTTTTGTATGCCAGATTGCTTCATATGAAATACTTAGAAAGACTGATAATACACACACACACACACACACACAATCATGCATATAATGTACTTTCTTTGTCTAATCGTTTGAGGGTGCCTGTTTACAACTTGTACCCTTCTTTGGAAGTTAAGTTTTTTTGTTTTATTTATTTATCTATTTATTTATTTTTATTTGACAGGTAGAGCTATAGACAGTGAGAGAGAAAGACAGAGAGAAAGGTTCCCCCACCGTTGGCTCACTCCCCAAATGGCTGCCACGGCCAGCACTGCTCCGATCCAAAGCTAGGAGCCAGGTACTTCCTCCTGGTCTCCCATGCAGGTTCAGGGGCCCAAGCACTTGGGCCATCCTCCACTGCCCTCCCGGGCCACAGCAGAGAGCTGGACTGGAAAATGAGTAACCGGGACTAGAACCCAGCGCCCACATGGGATGCTGGCACCGCAGGTGGAGGATTAACCAAGTGAGCCATGGTGCCAGCCCCGGAAGTTAAGTTTAAAATGCATTCTGCGTCTCTTCTCATGCACTCACAATTAAGGTCTGTGTAACACATTTTCTAGTTTCCTGAAGGCTGCAGACAGGTAAACAAGCATTTGTAAAACAGAGCACTGAGTGCTGTAACCCAAGACCTACAGTGGCCCTGCAGGTTCCTAGGAGGAGCACCTCACCCGGATGTGGAGCTGAAGTGGAGCTTCTTGGAGAGTCTGTGTTTAGAACCTGAAGGTGAGAGGGAGGTAGCCAACCACAGTACAGCAGAGAGGAGGAAGAATAGAGTGGAGAAAACACCCAGTAAAGGGAGAAACCTGGTACATGCTAGCACCTGCAGGCCCGAGTGGTTTAGATATGGTGAGAATGGTGGTGGGGGAAGCTAGAGTGGGGAGCCAGCCCTCCGGGCAAGCCTTCCAAGCCAGGCTGAAGGATTTGATGTTGATGTTACAGGAAAAACCACACTGGAGATTTTTACACAGAGAATTATATGGTGAAATCGATGTTTTAAAATGTGGTTTAGAGGGAATAAAACTGAAAACAGAGGCAGTGACAGTATATAAAGCACTTAGCCTACTGTAGACAACTCATTCCTTTAAAAAAAATTAAGAAGTAAAAATAAGTAAATAAATACACCTGAAAGCAGGTACAACATTAAGTTTTAAACTTTATTTTGTCATAAGATTATTTTTATTGGCAACCTAAGGAATGGCTGTATCTCTTTTTTTTAATATTTATTTATTTATTTGAAACTTAGAATTACACAGAGAGAAGAGAGGCAGAGAGAGAGGTCTTCCATCCAATGGCTCACTCCCCAACTGGCCGCAGTAGCCGGAGCTGCGCCAATCTGAAGCCAGAAGCCAGGAGCTTCTTCTGAGTCTTCCATGTGGGTGCAGGGGCCCAAGGACTTGGGCCATCTGCTACTGCTTTCCCAGGCCATAGCAGAGAGCTGGAATGGAAGTGGAGCAGCCAGGTCTCAAACCAGCGCCATATGGGATGCCGGCACTTCAGGCCAGGGCGTTAACCCACTGCACCACAGCACCGGCCCCGATGGCTGTATCTCTCAAACGACCAGATTTGAACACTGTTGGGCTCGTATTCATGCTCTGCATCTGTCTGGCTCCTGGTTCCCACGCAGAAGTCGAGCAGAAACCCTTCCTCAGTACTTCCTCTGCCCGTCTGCCTGTCTGAAATACTGTCCCTCGACTCTGCAGTCCATTAAAAACACTTTGCTAAAATTGCTGTCCTGAAAGGTTAAAGACATTTAAGTTAAAGTATTCCAGACAAAGGGCCCATTAGAAAGTAAATTACAGATCGATATCTCTTATGAATATAGACTCAGAGGTCCTGTACAAAACACTGGCAAACCAAATCCGGCCGCATATGGAAGGCTGACATATCATGACCAAGGAGGATGCGTTCCAGGATTGCAAGATCGGCCTCACACCCAGAACAGGAGAACAAAAGGGAAGAACAGGATCATCTTAACAGTGAAGAAATGGTGTTTGATAGACTCAACATTAACACCCTTGCAAGATACAGCCAACAAAGAAGGAATGGTGAGAGTCCCCTCAACCTAATAAAAACCGTCTATGAAAACCCACAGAAATGGTCAGAGGCTGAATATAGTCCTCCTAGGAACATGAACAAGACCAGGATGCCCACTCTGACCACACCTCTGTAAACTTGTGCTGGAGGTTCTAGCCAGCACAGTTGTGCAAGAAAAAGAGAGAACAGGTATGCAGATTGGAAAGGAAGAAGTAAAAAAAACTGTTAAAAATTACGTGATTTTGAATATGGAAAATTCTCTGGAATCCATTATAAACTTAGATCTAAAATACGAGTTCAACAAGACTTACAATACAAGGTTAATATGTGGAAATTGCTTGTATTTCCATTCAGCAGCAGTGGACCATCCAAACATAAAATTAAGAAAACAATTTAATTTACAATAGAATCAGAATAAATAAAATATTTAAAAGTGAATTTAACAAAGAATAGAACAGACTCCACAGACTACAGCACACTGCTGAAAGAAATTAAAGAAAACCTACAAAATAGACATCTCATGTTTATGGGTTTGGAATTTTAATATTGTGAAGATATCCTCAAACTTTTCTACAAATTTGGTGCAACTCTATTAAAATCCCAGCTGCTTTTGTTGCAGAAATTGACAGACTGATTCTAAAATTCATATGGAAATGCAAGGGACTAGGAATAGCCTCAAAATCTTGAAAAAGAAAAACAAAGTTGGAGAACTCAGACTCAGACTTCTTAATTTCAAAAGCCCTGTACTAAAAAAAAAAAAAAAAAAAAAAAAAAAAAAAAAAAAAAAAAGTCTGCACTAATCAAAACACATGGTATTGGCCTGAAGATATATAAATGAGTGAGACAGAAGTGAGATTCCAGGGATGGGCATTGTGACACAGCATATTAAGCTGCCACTTAGGACACCCCTATCAGAGAGGCAGTGATAGAGTCCCACCTCTGCTTAGGATCCCATTTCCTGCCGTTGTGCACCCTGGGAGGCAGCAGATGATGAGTCAAGTGCTTGTTTCCCTTCTGCTCTTGTGGGAAACCCAGGAGAGAGTTCCTGGCTTCTGGCTTTGGCATTTGGGAGAGAACCAGAGAATGGAAGATCAGTATGTGTTTGTGTAATTCTGCCTTTCAAGTACAATTTTTAAAAACTTAGAAGTGAGATTCTGAGGCTAGCGCTATGTGGCATAGTGAGTAAAGCCACCTGCAGTGCTGTCATCCCACATGGGTGCCATTTCAAGTCTCGGCTACTCCACTTCTAATCCAGCTCCCTGCTAGTGTGCCTGGGAAAGCAGTAGATGGCTCAAGTCCTTGAGTCCCTGCACCCACATGGGAGGTCCAGAAGAAGCTCCTGGCTCCTGGCTTTGGATGGACCCAGCTCCAGCAGTTGCAGGCATTTGGGGAGTGAATCAGCAGATGGAAGACATCTCCATCTCTCTCTGCCTCTGCCTTTCTGTAACTCTGCTCTTCAAATAAATAAACAAATCTTAAAAAAAAAAAAGTGAGATTCTAAAAAATCGACTTACTTTATGCTCAATTGAGTTTTCACAAGGGAGTCAAGATATTCAGTGAGGAAAAATAGTCTTTTCAACAAATGATACTGGAACAACCAGATACCACAGGCAAAAGAATGAATTTGAACCAAACCACTTCTTTACTTGTATCATACACAAAAATTAAACCTAATTGTGAATACTCTGAGGGAGAAGACTGAGCAGTAAATCTTCACAGTCTTGGGCCACATGAAGTCTTCTTGTGCAGGACACCAAAAGCACAGGTGACAAAGCAACGTAGGTAAGTTGGACTTCAGTAGTAAACATTTTAGCATACAATTATACCCTCAGCAAAGTGAAAGTGCAGCCACCAGAAAGGGAGAAAATAATTGCAAATCATAGACCTGATAAGGGTCTTGTTCCAGAATATATAAAGAATTCATACAACTCAACAGCAAAAAGGCAACCCAATTTAAAATGGACAAAGATCTTGAACAGTTCTCTAAAGAAAACATGCAAATGGCCAATAAGCACATGAAAAGATGTTTGATACCATTAGGGAAATAAAAGCAAAGCCATGATGAGGTGCTACTTCACACCAGGAGGAGGCTGTCATCAGTGAAATAGAAATCACAGGTGTTGGGAGAAGGTAGAGAAATTGGAACCCTTATACACACAAAGTGGGAGTGTAAAATAGTGCAACTGCTATGGAAACTGACAGTTTCCGCAAATCCATATAACCCAGCAATTCCATTTCTAGATGTAATACTCAGTGAAATAAAAATATCCATCCACATATCATTGTTTATAACTGCGTAGCAGCATTATTCACAATAGCCCCAATGTGGAAATAATCCAATTGTCCATCTATCAATAAGTAGATAGATATATAATTGTGGTACATGCATATAATGAAATAGGATTTGATAATAAAAAAATAAAGTACTGGCACATGCTCCAACATGGATAAACCTTGAAAACATTCTGCTAAATGAAAGAAGACAGTCACAAAAGACCACGTTCCATTTGCATGAATTGCCCAAATATTCAAATCCATAAAGACTGAAGGTAGATTAGGAGTTGATTAAGACTAGAAGACTTGGGAGCAGTGGGTTCAGGGTTTCTTTTGGGGATAATGAAAAATTCTAAAATTGATTTTTCATGATTGTTCAATCCTGTAAATATAGCAAAAATCACTGAGGTATACACTTCAGTGTGTGAATTATTGGTTAATTGTGTCTCAGATGCTGTTTACAAAAATGCCAATAGAATGACGGTCAAAAATATGAGGCAATCAGAAAAATTACAAGCGGCCAATAAGCCTTTGAAAGATGCTCGGTGTTACCAGTAATTAAAAGAACTTTAAATGGAAATAATTCATTAATTCTTTGTTGCTCCTCAGACAAAGAATGAGATTGAGAATACAAAAAAAATCTGTTAACAATCTTTAAGAATTAGAAATCTAGACATTTCCACTTGAACTAAACAAAATTATCTGTGGTTAAATGTCTTATAGGATACTGGCCCTTTTGCTAGGACTATAGAAGTATTACCCAATAGGAAGGACCTCCAGAAATCATGCAGTCCAGTCCTTTTATTGACCCAGAAAGAGTAAGGGACTCACCCAAATTACAGCTTACTCAATGACACAAGCAGGTCCCTACTCCAGATTTCTTGACTTTCTCATGAGTGCTGAGTCTTGCTACTAAGTTAGGCACAATTAACAAAGCTGGGGCTTCCAAGTGTGGGGGCCTTGTGGAGGAGGGGCTTCCAGTGCCAGCATTGTTCAGGAGGGATCTAGACTCAAGAATTTGGCTTTCTGCGATGAGGCCGAGCTAAGAATGCTCAGCTGTTCATTTCATTTCTGATTGTACAGTATTCTACATTAGCTAGTCTAGTATTTGAATTTTGCTGTTTCTTGGTTTCTTACTTTTGGATGCTTTCATGCCTGTTCAGATTATCTTTATACATTCTGTAAATTTTCTGTGCTATACTTTATCAGAAATCCTATCGTTGACTATACAAACCTCCTATCCTACTTCAACCAGCTTCCTGTCAGATTCTCTCTGAGTACCATACTTACTAGACAGTCATCCTAGATCTGGTGTAAAATCTCTTTTATAGTAACATGCCGGGTTATATTTTTATTATTATTTCAGAGACAGAGCACTCATCTAGTGTTTTATTCCTTCAGTGGCAGAGGCTGGACCAAGCCGGAGCCAGGAACTCAATCTACGTATCTCATGGGGGCAGCGGAGACCCAACTACTTAAGCCATCACCTGCTGTCTTCCAGAAGGCATACCAGGGTTCAAACCCAGGCAATCCAGTATGGGATGAGGACATCCTAACTAGTGACTTAACCACCAAGCCAGATGTCCACCCCATGTACTGTTGTGGTTTTTTTATATATATATACAAATTTATTTATTTGGAAGGCAGAGTGACAAAGAGAAAGAGTGAGAGCACGCATGTGTGCGTGCGCAAGAGAGAACTTCTGTTTGCTGGTTCACTCCCCAAATGGCCACAGCAGCCAGGTCTGGACCAGACCAAAGGCAAGAATCCTGGTCTCCCCTGTGGGTGGCAGGGGCCCAAGTATTTGGGTCATCTTCCAGGCACATTAGCAGGAAGCCAGATCAGAAGCAGAACATGGGGCCAGCCTGTGCTGTGGCGCAGTAGGTTAATCGCCTTCCTGCGGCTCCGGCATCCCATATGGGCACTGGTTCTAGTCCCAGCTGCTCCTTTTCCAATCCAGCTCTCTGCTATGGCCTGGGAAAGCAGTGGAAAATGGCCCAAGTGTTTGGGCCCCTGCACCCATGTGGGAGACCTGGTAGAAGTTCCTGGCTCCTGGCGTCAGGTCAATGCACCACCTGTAGGGTGAACCAGAAGAAGGAAGACTTTTCTCTCTGTCTCTGCCTCTCATTGTCTGTAACTCTACCTCTCAAGTAAATAAATAAAATCTTTAAAAAAAAAAAAAAAAAAAAGGCAGCAGCAGCAGACCAGCTAGATCTCTAACCTGCACTCTAGTATGGGCTGCTAGCATCGCCCTCGTCATCTTAACCAGCTATACCACAGTGCCACTGCCACTGCCAGCACCACTACAGGGTTTTAATGTATTCTCTCCATAGAGTAGCATTTGTTTAGTCTCTCGGTCTTTTTGCCTATGTAGTACCACAGTGCCACAATACTTGCTTCCGGTATGACTTTTACCTGTGACCTTCTCAAACATGTGCCTTCTCATACCCATCTTTCTCACTTGACTGAGCCTTCTTGGCTAGATAATAAGTGTACTGTGCTTATCTTTATGTTCCTAGGACTACGCTGATGCTCAGTAAATATTTAATAAATACTTCCAGTATACTTTTTGTGCATTGCCTGGTTAGCATCTGTTTTCTTTTCCTTTCAGAATTCGGAGTTGTGTGCTTAATCTTTTCTGCAACACTAGCTTACTTCCCACCCCGCCCTCCCCTGCCTCCCAGCGTCGCTGCAGCCAGCCAGCGGCTGAGTTACCGGCGCAGCTTCTGTAGATTACTAAGGTAAGCACACTTACAGGCCTCATGTGATTTTTCTAGGACCTTCAATATTGTTCCATATCTTCAAAAGATAATTTAAGAAAGTAACATTTCAGCAGCCTACTAATCAGGTAGTAAATAATTGATAAAATGCCAATTAAATATTTTATACTTTCTATCAGAAATCTATCTTGAAAACTCACCAAAAAAATGCCATTTTTGCCTTACTTATATACAACCTATATAGTTACTAATATTTTCAAAGTAAAATCTTTTATTGTCTTTATATAATTTATTTATTTATTTTTAAGATTTAATTATTTATTTGAAAGAGTTACAGAGAGGCAGAGCAGAGAGAAAGAGAGGTCTTCCATCTGCTGGTTCACTCCCCAAATGGCTATAATGGCTGGAGCTGAGCCAGTCTGGAGCCAGGAGCCAGGAGCTGCTTCTGGGTCTCCCACACGGGTGTAGGAACCTAAGCACTTGGCCATCTTCTGCTTTCCCAGGCCATAGCAGAGAGCTGGATCAGAAGAGGAGCAGCCAGGATCCAAACTGGTGCCCATATGGGATGCTGGCACTGCAGGCAGTGGCTTAGCCTGCTACACCACAGTGCCAGCCCCATAATTTACTTTTATCAAAAAACTCACATCATATGATAGTGTCTGAGATCATGGGCTTTATGTGCTAATTATATTTTTCCTAATATGCAGTGTTTCTGATCATTATGTTTTTATTAATGCACATTAAAATAAGCAGGCATTGGTCAATACAAATGAATAAATAAATACACTATTCACGTGTCTCCCAAAATAATTTGGGATCATACATATGGGATCATACTTTAAGAACATTAATGTGTTGTTTCATTTTATTAGTATAACCTAAATATAGTTAGACCCCTAACAACTCAAATGCTCCAGTATTGAGTTAGATTCTTTGGATGTATGGACCATCACTATTGATTATGACTTGCATTTGGGCCTTACCTTGAACTTACCTTTTGAATTTTTTGCCAGTTAGGTATCATGATTCATCAGCAGCTCTCTCTGGTCGGTTTTTTTCTCTTGTCTTTCTCTCCCACCTCATGATAAGTTTCTCGTGGTCAAGACCTGTCTGAATCTTCTAATGTAAAACTGTCCAATAGGAATATAAACCCACCATATATGTAATCTTTTTTTTTTAACTTTTATTTAATGAATATAAATTTCCAAAGTACAGCTTATGAATTACAATGGCTCCCCCCCCATAACGTCCCTCCCACCCACAACCCTCCCCTTTCCCACTCCTTCTCCCCTTCCATTCACATCAAGATTCATTTTCGATTCTCTTTATATACAGAAGATCAGTTTAGCATACATTTAGTAAAGATTTCAACAGTTTGCTCCCACACAGAAACATAAAGTGAAAAATACTGTTTGAGTACTAGTTATAGCATTAAATCTCAATGTACAGGACACTAAGGACAGAGATCCTACATGAGGAGTAAGTGCACAGTGACTCCTGTTGTTGACTTAACAAATTGACACTCTTGTTTATGGCATCAGTAATCACCCTAGCTTCTTGTCATGAGTTGCCAAGGCTACGGAAGCCCCCTGAGTTCACCGACTCTGATCATATTTAGACAAGGCCATGGTCAAAGTGGAAGTTCTCTCCTCCCTTCAGAGAAAGGTACCTCCTTCTTTGATGACCCATTCTTTTCACTGGGATCTCACTTGTGGAGATCTTTCATTTAGGTTTTTTTTTTTTTTCCCCAGAGTGCATATATGTAATCTTAAATTCTCTAGTTAGCTCATTAAAAAAGATAAAATAAAAAAGTAAAATTAACTTTAGTAGCATATATTATTAGCTCAATATATCAAATATTTTAACTTGTGGTAAATTTTAAAATTATTGAACTATTATATATTCTTTTATTTTTTTAAAAAGATTTATTTGTTTTATTTGAAAGGCAGAGCCACACAGAGGAAGAAAGGAGAGAGGGAGAGATTTTCCGTCAGCTGGCTCACTCCCCAGTTGGTCACAGCTGTCAGGACTGGGCCATGCCAAAGCCAGGAGCTGGAAACTTCAGCTGGGTCTCCCACATGGGTGGCGTGGGCCCAAGCATTCAACTGCTTTCCCAGGTGCATTAGCAGGAAGCTGGATGGAAGCTGAGTATTCAGATCCTGAACAGGCGCTCGGACATGGGCTGTCAGCGTCGCAAGCAGTGGTTTAACCCGCTGCACCGCAGCACCAGCCCCACGTTCTTTTATTTGTATAAAATCTTGGCTGTTCCCTGTGTATTTGATCCCCACAGCACATCTCAACGTAGACACTAAAGTTTCATAGGAAATATTTGATCTGTATTGAGAAATACATTATAAGTGAAATCATGATTGAAACACTATTCGTTGAGTAGTGTTTATGACGTTACACTGTTTATCTGAAGTTTAGAGTAGATAACTACACTTTTTCAAATTTCAGATCAACAAATCTTTGATGTTATTAGGTTGTTTTGTTTTTTGTTTTTTGTTTTTTTGTTTTTTGTTTTTTTTGACAGAGTGGACAGTGAGAGAGAGAGACAGAGAGAAAGGTCTTCCTTTTTGCCGTTGGTTCACCCTCCAATGGCCGCCGCGGCCAGCGCGCTGCGGCTGGTGCACCGCGCTGATCCGATGGCAGGAGCCAGGAGCCAGGTGCTTTTCCTGGTCTCCCATGGGGTGCAGGGCCCAAGTACTTGGGCCATCCTCCACTGCACTCCCTGGCCACAGCAGAGAGCTGGCCTTTGGAAGAGGGGCAACCGGGACAGAATCCGGCACCCCAACCGGGACTAGAACCTGGTGTGCCGGCACCACAAGGCAGAGGATTAGCCTAGTGAGCCGCAGCATCGTCCGATGTTATTAGGTCTTAATACAGGTATTGTACAGGCGACTGGGACTTAATTGAAAATTTGTCACTTTTGCAGAAAACATATTTAGTTGTTCCTCCTAATTTCCATAGCTAAAATATTGATTCCCTTTCATCTTTCCATTTAAAAATGTTTTTTCCTTTTTGTGCAAGAATCCATGCTGTGTTGGCTAAAGTGATAAGTTCAGATCTGTAAAAATCATTTAAAAAGATTTGTTTGACAGTTAATTCTGATTTCCAGCAACAAATTTCCATGATTCTTTTTTGACCAGTATGGAAAAACTTCTTATATAATTCACCTTGTATCTAAATATTATCCATTTTTGTATCTTAAATATTTTCCAATATTAGACATTTCATCTTTGACCTGCTGCAGCAAATTGCAATTGCCTTTTACTGTGAAATTTGCTGCCTTCTTCTTTTGCAGTCTAGTCTTTCTACAGGAAACATTCAAGGAAACAAGTTACAGTACTAGTATATAGAAAACAGTAATTAGAACTGAATCAATTAATTGACACCAAGACAGAGCCAGGTTATGACACTAGAAACAGCACATGCCTCGATGTGTGCACCATCTCTCATCCCAGCTGCTAGAATGAAATGTGATCCATCAAAACTAATGTTGTGTTTAACAGAAAAGTACTTTACACTACTTCTGTTTTTAAATTTAGATTTAGATTAGTTAAAATGAAATAAATTTTAAAACTTAGTTTCTCATTTGCGCTAGCCACATTTCAGGGCTTTGCATCATTGTTTTTCAAACTTTAGTTCACAGCCAACTAATTTAGGAATTGACCACCATTTTTTTTTTCTTTGCAAAGTAGAAGGGAATAAAACAGATTAAAAAATATTTGCCAGCGCCGCGGCTCAATAGGCTAATCCTCCGCCTGCAGCACTGGCACACCGGGTTCTAGTCCCGGTCGGGGCGCCAGATTCTGTCCTGGTTGCCCCTCTTCCAGGCCAGCTCTCTGCTGTGGCATGGGAAGGCAGTGGAGGATGGCCCAACTGCTTGGGCCCTGCACCCGCATGGGAGACCAGGAGAAGCACCTGGCTCCTGGTTTCGCATCGGCGCAGTGCGCCGTACGCAGCGGCCATTGAGGGGTGAACCAACGGAAAAAGGAAGATCTTTCTCTCTGTCTCTCTCTCTCACTGTCCACTCTGCCTGTCAAAAAAAAAAAAGAAAGAAAGAAAGAAAGAAAGAAAGAAAGAAAGAAAGAAAGAAAATATTATTGTATCACATGTAGTAAGGCTGCATATTTTTGACAAGACTTTTATTTCAGTATGTAACGTGTGCATATTATATATATATATATATATATATGAGTAAGTCACAAGTTGAAAATAAATATCCTAATCTGGAGTGAAGAGTCTCTGAAAACTGCTTTTCTACAGCATCTGATTCTATTGAACTAAAATATTCTTTATGTTGAATTATGATCAGTGGTACACAACAGTGAGATGGCAATTTAAAAATGATAGTTCTCCTTTTTTTTGTTTTGTTTTGCTTTTTGGTGCTGTGTGAGTTTTCTCCATTCAAAGCCAGCATCAGAAGTTAGATAGCAGTAGATAAAACTGGGCGGGGGTCTGATCATTGTGGACTGTTCTGTGAGCCGAGCAGGGCCACGGAAGACCTACGCTGTGTACAGGATTGTTCTGAGAAGGCAGAGTGGTCACTGTAGGTGATCACTCTTAGCACGATGCACCCCGTGTCTGCACCCAGTTACCCGAGAGCCAGGGCCTTCAAGTGTGTAAGCCGTCAGTTCTTGGCTATCCAAAAGCCTTTTTCATCTAGGCCAGCATTCCTTTGTCTCTTCCATAGTCATCTGTGAGCTTTGCACCACTGCCTGCTTTTACCTAGGGGCCTCCCATACCCTGTTCCTATAGTCTGGCCTTAGAATTTTCCCTGGTCTTTCAAAGAACTCCTGAAGTCATTATTCCCTGGGTTAATAGAATAATTGCCTCCCTAAATTTTAATTCCACTGTCTGGGTGAAAAAAACAACTATCCATTGTAAGTCCAGGGTTTCCACCACAGTTATTTATTTACTGTCCATGTGATTCCTTTCTCATAATTTGTTTTTAAGCTGTGCATCCTAATGTAAACATTTCTCTGTGTGTGTTGATTTGATATTTGATGAGGTGATAA